GTTGGCAGAATGTGGGAAGATTTAATAGCACTTTTTACTTTCATGAGGTCCGAAGTTGAAGGATCTTTAGGGATCGAGCAGTATGGGCCTTCATTTATCAATTTAGAGACTCCAGTAATATATGTGTGTTTGTCCATAACAACGATCTGTCCGCCCTTATCAGCTTTAGAGATAATGATATTAGTATCAGAATGAATTTCACGTAAGATCTCATTTTCCTTTTTGCTAAGATTAGAACCCAAAGATTTATTGTTAAAATTAACGTTATGAGTAATTAGGTGGCGGATTGTATCCTTCTGCGTTTCCGAAATTTTGGAGAATTTAAAGGCTTTCTCTATAGGGGCGATGATTTGAGGAATTGAAGGTTTAGATGTCTTTGAAAAGTTGAAATTATATTTTTAATACTTTTAACTGATCCTCCGAAAGATTCCTATTGGAGATATTAACGATGGAGTTAACGTTTACAGTGGGAAGATCAGCTAGATAATTGGGACTATCCGACTGGTGTGTGAGTTTTAGGAATTTAGAAATGAGCACATTTTTATGCCGTTGACAAACGGTATCGGTATCGGTTCTAGACCAGGATGTATGTTCAAATGAGGAAAAATTTTCAGTGGAATTAGCAATTTTTAAATGGAGGTAATATAATTCAAATTCAATTTTAGATAAACGTTTGCGTGTGTCCCTTATAATGTGACGAAGAAGTGCCAATTTGAATTTATGCAAAATTTTTGAAACGTGAACGGAAGCTTTAAGGCTACATTTCACATGTATAAATTTGGGAATGAAATTTTGATGTTTGCATTTAAGTAGAAACTGTAGATGATTCAAGAATTTCGTACGCTTAAGGCGTAACTTACAAAATCGGTTCCTGTCAGTGGACATATTGTGAAAAGGGCACAAGCAAGAAACAAGTGAACAAAAGAAATGTAATTCCGAAAGTCCAAACAAGTAATTACTTATAACATGAAAAAACACCAATAAATAATGAAGACAATTTTCATCAACAAATGACAAAAACATTCCAAAAGGAGAGAAACATCCAATACTGAAAACCAATAGCCACGTGGAAAGAAGCAACGAAAGTCAAAATCGTGCACGTGGTAAACCGAAAAAAAAAAAAAAAAAAAAAAAAAATAGAATTACCTCGAAAATGCCGGTTGATAGCATAAACCAAATCCGAAAAAATGATGGCCACGTGGTAAAACAATAAACAGTAAAATATTCTCGAAAATGCCGGTTGATAGCACAAACTAGACTAGAAGAGAAACACGCTAATGTGACAATCAAAATCGTAAAAAACAACCTTATATTTAGCGTAGGTATAATGAAACACTCAATCGATTTCGAGGGCAGCTAAAGGTCCCTCCTCATCAGGAGAAAGAAATACATAGAAAGAAGAAAATAGGAGAAGGAGTCACAGAAACACGTAGTGCTTATCAGCACTGCACGTGGTTATAACTAGATTTTTAATCAGAGTTGCACTGGCCGCCTACTTTTACTGAGCCAGGCTGTCTGATCAAGCATAAAGAAATATTAGCGAAGTTTAAAATAGGGAGCGAGGGGCAAATGCACACCTTACGCTCAAAATCTGAACTTCAAATAATGGAAAGCAACCACTGAACGGATTTTTATACCCTCTGGTAGTACCAAGCGCGAGGAGGTAACGCCATCTATCGGCAAAAATAATTGAATTAAGATAGTAGAATTTTAAAGGCATTAGGAAGGACTGGATTGGACTTCAAATCATTAACTAAACTTCTAAATCTTTGTGAATGTGAAAAGCCTCAAGAAAATCCAATTCGCCTATGGAAGAAGCCTTTTGGATGATTTTTGCAGACCCAAAATCAAAATTATGGTTAAAAGTCCAGCTACGATACGCTATTGAAGACTTGTTAATTTCGCCTTTCTTGACATAAGATTCATGTTCCTTGATACGAAACTTCAACGCTCTTTTTGTTTGGCCAATATATCTTAAACCACACTGACATGATATACTATAAATTCCCCAAGAATTCAAGGACAGAAACGCAATCTTTTAGAATCGAAGGGTGAATTTTATTAATAGGGGAGAAACCGACTTGAAAATTGAATTTCTGGAGAATCCGTGCAATTTTTATAGCTAACAGAAGGATAAAATGGAAGCACGACAAGGTCATTAATATTATTTCTAACAGTGGAATGTCTTCTTTGATGGGAATCTGAAAATTATTTGACGGCTTTATCAATAATCACGGGAGAAAATCCACGGTCAATCGCAACTGCTCTCAAATAATTAAGTTCATTGGTAAGCAAAGATTCAGAGGAACAAACTTTTAGCGCGCGGAAAACATAATAGTAAAAAGAAGCCATTTTTTGCTTAACAGGGTGGCATGACTTGGCATGGGGTGGTAAACAAAAGTTCACAAAACCGGTATTCCTTTTCGACCAATTGTTTCCAACATAGGTACTGCTTCATATCCTTTGGCCAAATATTTAGTTTCCAGATTTTCTCCTCTACTTGCTAACAATATTCACAGACTGTAAAAAATTCTTTTGAAGTCATTGATAAACTTAAAAATATTTCCCCACTTCGTTCCATTATGGTTTCATTTGATGTCAAATCATTGTTTACTAATGTTCCGGTCGAAGGAGCACTAAATTGTCTTGAAACTAGGCTTCGGGAATTTCACTTCACACACATACTGAAATTAATGAGTTGGTTTCGCTTACTAAAAGTTTCTCTAAGTCAAACCCACTTTGTTTTCCAAAATGCATATTTTCGTCAAGTTGAAGGATTGGCTATGGGTAATCCTCTCAGTCCGGGACTTGCTGACATTTATATGCACTATTTTGAGATGAAATTATTTGATAAATTATCTTTTCGTCTTTGGATTCGGTATGTTGACGACACTTTCGCACTTTTTGACGGTTATAAAGAGGATTTATCCGAGATTCTATCTATTATGAATTCAATTGATCCAGCCATCCAATTCACTCTTGAAATTGAATCCAACAATTCCCTCCCCTTCCTCGATATTCTTATAATCCGCAATGAAACCGATTTTAGCACCACTGTGTACCGTTTACCACCCCATGCCAAAGTCATGCCACCCTGTTAAGCAAAAAATGGCTTCTTCTTTTTACTATTATGTTTTCCGCGCGCTAAAAGTTTGTTCCTCTGAATCTTTGCTTACCAATGAACTTAATTATTTGAGAGCAGTTGCGATTGACCGTGGATTTTCTCCCGTGATTATTGATAAAGCCGTCAAAAAAAAATTTCAGATTCCCATCAAAGAAGACATTCCACTGTTAGAAATAATATTAATGACCTTGTCGTGCTTCCATTTTATCCTTCTGTTAGCTATAAAATTGCACGGATTCTCCAGAAATTCAATTTTCAAGTCGGTTTCTCCCCTATTAATAAAATTCACCTTTCGATTCTAAAAGATTGCGTTTCTGTCCTGAATTCTTGGGGAATTTATTGTGTATCATGTCAGTGTGGTTTAAGACATATTGGCCAAACAAAAAGAGCGTTGAAGTTTCGTATCAAGGAACATGAATCTTATGTCAAAAAAGGCGAAATTAACAAGTCTTCAATAGCGTATCCTAGCTGGACTTTTAACCATAATTTTGATTTTGGGTCTGCAAAAATCATCCAAAAGGCTTCTTCCATAGGCGAATTGGATTTTCTTGAGGCTTTTCACATTCACAAAGATTTAGAAAGTTTAGTTAATGATTTGAAGTCCAATCCAGTCCTTCCTAATGCCTTTAAAATTCTACTATCTTAATTCAATTATTTTTGCCGATAGATGGCGTTACCTACCTCCTCGCGCTTGGTACTACCAGAGGGTATAAAAATCCGTTCAGTGGTTGCTTTCCATTATTTGAAGTTCAGATTTTGAGCGTAAGGTGCATTTACCCCTCGCTCCCTATTTTAACTTCGCTAATATTTCTTTATGCTTGATCAGACAGCCTGGCTCAGTAAAAGTAGGCGGCCAGTGCAACTCTGATTAAAAATCTAGTTATAACCACGTGCAGTGCTGATAAGCACTACGTGTTTCTGTGACTCCTTCTCCTATTTTCTTCTTTCTATGTATTTCTTTCTCCTGATGAGGAGGGACCTTTAGCTGCCCTCGAAATCGATTGAGTGTTTCATTATACCTACGCTAAATATAAGGTTGTTTTTTGCGATTTTGATCATTCTTTAGATTTTTATAATTTTCAGCTGAGTATGTTAATGGCGGTATCCATGCGACTATGCTGCTTTTTTTTTTTAATCCGTACTATTCACTTTCATTGTAATATTTATTAAGTTATCTATAGGATAATCAATATCTTATTATAGCATAAAAGTTTGGTATTAAAATATTGGGTTCAGTTATCAGGTTGACGAAAGTCTTCTAACCGTGTTGAAAAATCCAACGAACGATTTTTGTATCGCCGTTAGAGGACGCTTCTCTTCTGAGAAATGAATGTTAGTTTAGTTCAATTAGCGATGTAGAAGATGATAGCCATCGATGCACTCCGGGTTGTTTTGTAAATAAAATGATTATTTTTGTAAAACGTTGAAGTATTGATTTCTATTAGTATTAAGTATGACCAGAGCTCTCCCAAGGAAGTTAGTCAAATAATATTTTTTTATAAAGCGCTCTAAGTTAAGATATACTAGACCAAGTTATGATTATCAAGACTGCAGTACGCCGTCACATGTGAAGTCGTTTAGTATGATATGGTTTAGTTTATTATGGCAAAGTACGCTTGGGCTATCTGCCTGAGGAAAGGGATGCCTTCGTGGAAGACTTTCTAAGGGAATCTGACTTGTATACACGTTACACATGGGGAATGCCAAGAAAACGCCCACGCAGCCAGACCATTTGACTGGATTCGAAGCCAGATCGGAATTACCAGTGTTCAGCGATTTTACCGCTCGGCCGTTGGTGGGCCCCGTCTGAAGTCGAGAAGAACATTTCATTATAATAATGAATTATTTTATTTATAATTACTCTTTTAGTTCTTACTTCAATAAGTTCAAAAGCAGCTAACAACTGTCCTTCGATTTCGGAAGATGTAGAGATTATGTTAAACCATTCTAGAGAGGGTGGAGTTTTCAGATTTTCTTTCTGACGGATAGTGGCAACAGTTCTGCCAAGAAACTCTGCTTTTCCCTAGAAAAATTGTAATTATTAGTCAACTGTATAACAGTTATTCATTCTTAATAAATAACTAAATAAGAATTATAAATATTTTGATAAACTAAATTAGTATTTTCATATTAATAGGTTAGTAGACGCATTATGATTAAAAAGATGAATTTGTTGAATATAAAACACTGAAGTTTAAAATATTTATAAACGGAATTGACGAATTTCACAAATGTATATTTATGTTCGCTCGGTTTCCCAAGGCAGATTTCCAAAATATATTTTTTATGCCAAAGAAACATAAATATACATTTGTGGAAATGCTGATGGACTATCCGAAACTGCATTTATGGAAGTGAGAAATGATGACGACTATCCGAAAGACTACGTAAACAACGTGCTTTCAGACTGCGTAGGCTTTTAATCAACTGAAAGAGATTTAAGGAAAGTTTAAATATTTTTTACTGACCCAGCAGAAAAATAAACATTTAATGAGCAAAATTTCGTTTCTCATAAATATGACAATCAACAAAGTATAAAATTGGCGAACATTTGATTAATTAAATTGTTCAGGAGGTAACTGGCAAACGTAGGTATATTGTATCGAAAATTTTATATGTATATTATATCGATGTAACTCGGGAAGGCCCGGTTTCCAAAGGCAGATTTCCAAAATATATATTTTATGCCAAAGAAACATAAATATAAATTTGTGGAATTCGTCATTTCCGTTTATAAATATTTTAAACTTCAGTGTTTTATATTCAACAAATTCATCTTTCTTCGACTCCTGAAGCAGGCGTTTTTGCTGTTTCTTTTTTATGGGGTTGAAATGGATTAAGTCATAAAATTTTTTGATTCCATTTTATTATTTGTACATTTGCGTGGTGTTAGTTGGTTATTATCATATAGCCTAAATAGCTTTTTATTTTTTCTACTTATTAACCTATTGGCTGTGCACAGAGCATACTGCAAGATATGCATCTAACATTTATAAAAGATGATGACGTTCTTTCAACTCCAGTTTGAGTTTTCTCTCTATCTCATCGTTTCCCATTCCACAGCTGGATTCAGCAAACATTGCTTGTACTAGCTTCTATAAATGCATTCTGTATCTTTCTTTCAATCAACACAATTATAATTAGATAATTTTTTAAATCGGGTTTATTTCTTAGAATAAGGAACATTTATTATTTATAAAACTTCCTTGGAAGAGTCCATGAATAAAGTGCACTTTTGTATATTTTTACTAAAAGGTGACATGTGATTAAAATTCCTGTAACTTATTTTATCTTATTTATTTTTAATATGTTACATTTGACAAATGTTTCAAGAAGTACTTAAATATTTAACTTTTTTGTAGTACTTTATATGTGTAGTATCATGCAGGTACTTCAGCAGATTTTATGAAAAATATAAAACAAAGCTCGTAAAAAAGATTCTTATTGTTTTTCTGAATAACTTACTCGTATCTATCTAACAAAAACAATTTTTTTCATGTTGTTTTAATTTTCGAATGGAAGATGTAAGAAAAAATATTTTTACAAAATAAAATGAGACATTTTAATACAAATATTTCGTTAAGATGACTATCCCTAAAAATGTCCAGTGCTTTTAAGAACACAAATAAATATGCGTACTGACTTCTGTAAAATAAGCACGTCCTCAAAAGACCGAAATCCTAAGGAACTGTGATAGCTCGTCTTAGAGAGGTCCATTGTACAATTTTGGGAAATAATATGCATGTATTTCAATTACAGAAGCATTACTTGGAGTAAAATCTACGAGTTTTGTCAAAAGTGCGCATAGACAATTCAGAAGAAATTTCTGCTGTTACATTTTATACTGAAGAATCATTTTAAATTTGAGCATTTTTGGATTTATTTAAAAATTATTAGATAAACTCAAATTCAAATTTTAAAAATATAAACTTTACAAGTAACATAATTGGCATTATAATGCAACCCTGAAAATATCCACAGGCTGCTAAAGGACATAAAACTGCCACGAGGCGTCATAAATCCTCACGACATTCCTTTCTGTCTTACAGTGACCGTATGAGGAGATTCTGAAGGTATCCCTAGAAGTGGTGAAAAGGCTTTAAAGTTCGCACAGCATCGCGATATATTGTCAAGTAAAACTAAAGGAGATGTGACATTAAGCATTCGAGAGGATGTGCTTAGGGAATTTGGTGGACATTTCGCGATAACCTTTAGGATATGATAAGTAGAAGTTCTCACAACATCTCCGTACATCGTCAGAAAGAGCTAAGGAGGATAACTTGTGAATGCACTGAAATATAACATTAAGCATTCGGAAGGATGTGTTTAGGAAATTTTGAGGATACGTCGCGAAATCCCGAGGATATGGGAACGGTAACGATAATTTATACGCGCCAAGGTCAACTGAATAACAATAAGCGGGCTGGACCCAGCTGAGAACCCCCGATATTAGGCACGGGCCATACCAGCCAAAAGGCCACCTTGGAGATGGTTCATACACACCTACTGTGACTCGGAGCCCACATTCCCGAGTACATTAACATCAAAATTATCTCCATACTCACTGCTGAACAGATCAGCTAAGACCATTGCCTCAGTGAACAAAAGCCACGGCGGAGTGGGCTGGAGGATATGAGAAAAGCTTTAAGTCCTTATAAAATCCCATACACTGTCGATGGCACCTAGCAAGGATGTCCTATGGACATATCAAGATGTCACATTAAGCACTCAAGAGAATGCTTTAAGAAAGTTAGAGGCATACCTCCGGATTTGAGAGGATGTGTGTTGAGGCCGTCCTTAAAATTATCTAAAAACGTTTTTGTGCTATATGGGAAAATACGTCCTCCTATACTTTTCAAGCAAGAATTGTAGAATGTGCTTCTATACGTTTCAAGCAGGAATTATAGAATTATAGTAGGAATTATCACATTCACTTGCATATTTCTCCCCCTCGTGCGTTCTTCCTAACTTTTTTTAGTATGTGATTTAGAAATTTTAGAGTATAACAGCAAGCATATAAAAACTGAGTATAGACAAGTACGTAGCAGGTCTGGACAGGTAAGTAAATGCAAGTAGAATGACTAGTATCAAAAATACAACTGTAATTGAACGTATACAATATAGTAATATATCTAATTCCTATATGCTTTTTCTCTTAACTCTTTTCTCTAAGGAATGCTATATTTGTTTTTTAGCTTCAAAAGCTTTTAGTAAAAAAAGGAGGAGGGGTGAACAGAGTATTATCACAAAAAATAAATCAAAATAATATTTATTAACAGGAATAAATGCAACAATAAAGCCAATTAAGAAGTTAACATAACTTACAGATTTCTCACAGCTCATAATTTCAATTATTACTTCGTTTTCTATCTCCATAACAGAATTTAAACTTCCATAAAATGTGAGGCCTTTGATTATCAACATTTCGTTCCAAATAGGACTTAACGTATTTTCTTTTACCTGTAAAAATAATCGACAATTATTTTGTAGAAAATGTGCATACAATCCATATATGCCTTTGAAATTCATCATATGATTTTTTTGATACATTATGTAAAATGCAGATTCATTAGCATGAGTTTAAAAGTATTTTTGATAAAATGTTGTATAATGTATTTATAATTAGTATAACAAAGTTTTAAATTTTCATGGAATAAAGCATTTGTAATTAAGATAATAAAATGTTAAACTATTTTGCATTAACCCTTAGAAATATTCATCAAAAGAAATAAATGCACTAAGAAGCAAACCTAGAAGTGAAATTTTAAGAATGATAGTAAAAATGAGCTTTGTTCTCATAAAAAGGTATCGATATATTCAGGAAGAATTTTGTAAATTAAATAAAATACTAAATATAATACCACCAACACATATACGATGTCTACGAATAAGCAACAAAAGTAATGCATTATTCACGTTACACGAAAGGTTTCTTATATTCATTTACATTTCTAATAAAATAATTTTCTCAGTGAACATTAATTATTTTCATTATTATTTGGATTTTCCTATGAAAACTGTGGTTTCACATATCTCAGTAATGATGGCCAGTGATCCTTGAAAAATATTCAACTTAAGTATAAATTTTTAAATAATTAGGCGTATGCTAGAGCTTTACTCGTTTTAAGTATGCAAAATGTAATCGGATAATTTACGTTCATAATGACACTGAATCACTGAAATCATTTACCAGCAGAGTACATAAAGGAACAAAGTTAGAATAACTCATGCATTTAAGAGCTTAAATGGCAAGCGAATAGAGCTTCACATACATTTTTTACGAGTTTTTAAAGATTGTAGAGACATTAGGTACTTTTTGGAAGCAGGAATTATGAAAAATGAGCAACGCCTTCGCGGGAAATCGAACCACGGATCTCTGGACTACGCGCCCAGTATGCAGACCACTACACCACGAAGGCACGTTAAGAAGGCGAGAGAAATACCTTATATACTCTCCCTCTTAAAGGATGACTGGGGTTTTAGGGTACCCAGTCTTAAATCCTAGGTGTGGAGAATCATCATCCACCACCCTTTTAGTTAGGCACCACTGTAGAGTCATTAGGTTATTTCAGAAGCAGGAGTGATGAAAAATAAGCAACGCCCTCGCCGATAGTCGAACCACGGACATCTGGAATACACGCCCAGCGTACAGACCACTACACTACGAAGGCATGATAAGAAGGCGGGAGAAATACCTTATAAGGTAATTCTGAAACTACAGTTTACAATTAGAATTTGTCAATATATGCAAAGGATGAGGTGGTAATAGTGCATGCGATCAGTGGTTTCAGAAATTATGATAGGTGACAAATGATGTACAGATCAGCCACCAGTGGTTTCTGATGAAATTATAGAGGAAGTCATTTTTAATCTAGATGAAGATTTTAATATAGATTTTTCTAGATAAAGTCATTTTTACTTCCTTCTACGAAATTTATATTTATTATTTATTATTTATATTTATTAGAAGTAAATATTTACTTCTAATAAGTATAAATTCATATATGCGAATTAAACGTTTGCACTTTTAGCGCAAATTTTGGCTAGATGATAATTAAATAAATATTGTAACAATAACAACAGTTTTTCTAACTTGTGTTTAAAATTCATACAGCTAAAATTTACTCAATAAATGAAAGACAAACATTCTTCCATTCGAGTTGGTATAGTTAAATAACTGTTCTCTAGCATTGCTTAATAACAAAAGATGCTGAATAATATTTCTTTTCACTGAAAAAAGGACTCATACACTTTTTATAATTTTAAATTGTGAAAGAATAAAAGTTCTTATTTTTTTTTTCTTTCCTTTCTTTTGTCTTAAAACTACGCATGAACTTGTGACACATCAAAAACAATTTTCATAGCAAAAATTGCTTTTACACATTTGTTCACATTTTTGAGTTAAGTCCTTTTAATCGAAACTTTAGATGCAAAATTTTAGATCATTTCATTTTATAAAAGTTCAAGGATGCTCAAGGAGAAGTAGAAGAAAAGTGTATCTGTTCAAGTAAAAAGCCTTTAACTTTCAAGCACTAAGCTCGGGAGTCCTTGAGCAAGGACAGGTGTTTCTGGCCATGAACAGGTGATCAAATGACGTCACAAAAAATCTGATGCATGATTAATAAGGGAATGTATTCTCAAGCAGAAAGTTTGGTGCGATTTGATTATCTGATCCATGTTATTTGCAAATTATGTTTAGAAAGAAGGAAGAATCACAGAATATAAAATAAAAATTTCTATAAGGGGGGTAGAGAAGCAAATAATTAAAAGAACACAATTAATTAAAAGAACACAATTTATATTAAACATATAATTTACTAACCAGTTTTAACTTAAAACGGTATATAATAATTATAGTGCAGCTGACTACATTTAAAGAATCTTGTACACCCTGTCCGTAAAAGACCTTATGCGGCTTTTATTTTCACAATTGTTGGTCGTCCAATTAGAAAAATTCCAGCTGCATAAATGTAACTGGAATTCAAGCTATAAAAACTATAATTCCAGTTACAAAAATGTTTTATATATTCAGGTTATGATATTTTTAAGCTAAAAAATGTAAAAATTATAAAATCTAAAATTGTATAATGTTTTCTGCTCTATATGGTTATTTTAGCAAAAGGTTTTTCTCATTCTAAAAATAAATCCCAAACCTTTTGACATCCATATGATCTAGATTTTTAATGTTAAAGTTTGAGATCGTATTTAGACAATTGAAGAAAAATTTAATTAAATTTGTACCTAACTGAAAATGAAGTTTCAGAAAATGGTTTATGATGTTAATGGTGCTTTACATGATTGTCGTTAAAAGTATTAATTATTATAATTTCAGATCTAAAAGTTTGCTTCACATAAAAAAATATCACTGAATGACATTAAAAGGGAAAAAAGTGTCAAATCCGAATTATTCTAATTTTGTGGTTTAACTAACTTCTCAGGTAAAGACTATTAAAAAAATCTTAAAAAATTTTTAATTCCAGAAATGAAATAGCTTGGACAATGTTTATCATGCCGAAGTCAAACATTTTATGCTTTTTCTCAAAATGGGCATAAGCATTTACTGTACTTAACTACAGGGATCAGAGGGACATACAAAAAGTTAGAGTTGGTACGAAAACCTAATTTCTTAAATTTTAAAATACGAAAATATTAGTATAATTTTAAACGGTTTTTTAATTGGAAATATATGTCTATGACCAACAGTTGCCAAAGTAAAATCCGCTAAACTTACTGCAAAAGAAAAGCTGGCACAATAATGACAACATCGCAGATATGTGTTTTTCAGACTTTAAAATTTGCAAATGCATATTCACATAATGATTTGTAAACGCAAGTAAGGATAAAGAATATTTTTACCTCTGTATTTCATATTTATGGGTTAGTTAATATTTAAAAAAAAAAAAAAAAAAAAAAGCAAGATGGAAACTTGACAATTCAGAAATTGAAAATATATAGAAAATTAATTTTACATATAGCAATTAACAGAATTTTAAATTTATGTACTTAACTATTAAAAGTTATTACTTAATTAATGTCTTTCACGAAGTTGTATGAGCAGCTTTTAAGGAAAAATACAGTCTAAAAATTTAGAAAACCGACGATTTATAACCTCATGGGATTACGTATATTTAAATTATTTAATCAGTTATCAATTGTAAAATTATTATCTTTCACTTTGTTAATCTGATATGCTTTTAGATAAAATTAAATCTTCTTTTGTTTCAATGAGTTAAATAATTTTAATACGGGTAACCTAATTCAATTACTCATGTTTCCTTTTCTAAATTTTTAGAATATATTTTTTAAGAAAACTGTCACTACAACTTTGTAAAAGAGGTTAGTTAAATAATAACTTTAACGTTGAACGCGAAAAATTTTTAATTCTACTGGCTACTACACGTAGGAATAATTTTCTACTCATTTTCAGTTTTTGAATGCCAATTGAAGACAATTGAAGTTTCCTTCCTGCTTTTTCAGCAAAAAAATATTATTTAATCCAAAAATATGAAACACAGAGATAAAAATATTACTCATTCACTCTTGCGCTCATAAAGTTTTACGCGAATATACATTTACAAATCTAAAAAACCTGAAAAACGCATGCCTGCGATGATTTGAAGGTGTTTTATTTTTTTTTACCATGATACTTTTTATTACGGTGTTTTAAAATGGCGATGCCTTTGAAACGCTTTATTTATTTTCGATGATGATGTTTTAGAACTGCGATGTTTTTCCCTTGCTTTCTTTTCTCTATGATGTTTTCGCCTTGGGTTGTTTTATCCGCGATGTCTTCATCCTCGATGTTTCGGTAGACACCAACTAAAAAAACTAAAATACTAACACACATTCGTTACATTTAGTATGCCAAAATAATTTTCATCCTAGTAATTCATAAATTTTTATATACTAAAAATATATTATTGAGCCTCTTGATAGGAGCCCCTATCAATTACGTAAATAATCCATACACTCATACTGTAGTCATTAGATGCATTAAACACGCATTATTATTATTATAAGAATAATGTAAAATAAAAATAGTGTTCTTTACAATACCATACATAAATGAAAATACATTTATGATAAGACGATAAATTATTAAACTTAAATAAAAATACTTAATTTTGCATTCATAGTGCACTTTTCAGTTTTTCCAATTAAATAATCTTTTTTTTTTTTTTTTTTTTTTTTTTCCTTAAAAGAAATTAATACTTTCCTAAGCTTGATTTCAGAAATTTGTGTTCTTTCCCACATAATTACAGCGACTCTCTGTGTCACGAATTAAGAGTATTTCTCACTATTTTGTATGTTTAATAGTAGCACAGTAATGCACAGCAAGAAATGAGAATGCGACTACTGTTGTTAATTATTTTAACTTGTTCAAGATGTTGCTACATTTTTCTAAAGCAAATGTTTAGAAACCAATGCTTTCTATAAAACTGGATTATCAAAGATTACTTATTGTGTCAGATTTTCCTTTTGATTGCCTCTCCTGTTGAATATAAACCCAAGAAATTCTCAGTATAATGTTGTAAAAGCAGCTGTGAACGTACTTTTTCCACAGATTGAAACGAAAAAAAATTTAAACTGTGCTTTAAGTATACTAAGGACCTTTGAATTAGGGATAGCCAATATTACGCAAATGTGATGCTGCTGCTGTTTGCCTCTTTTCTCTGCGTGTGAAGACTCTGCCGTAAGATCTATGTAGCAATTTTGAAGTGAAGACAGAGATACTTTTGCAATCATAGCCGGTAGAACGGCTTTTATTTCTTTACAAAACAATGCTTTTATTGCAGCTGAACGTTTTTTAATGCATCACGGGGAAATTAACAATAAGCGCATCCGTTCTTTAATAAACTTTTACATTTTTAATATTTGAAGGAAGAAATTTAAGCACCAAAGATTAAGCTCTGGAAGGTAGAGAAGCGAGAGAAGGGATGATGAAAGCGAGAAGGGTTCCAAGATGAAAACGGCGCTCAGAATGGTTTAGGTTTAGTTAATTAACTTAATCTGAAAACTAACTTTTACGTACATAGATGTAACTTAACAAAAGCATTCAAATTCAATCACAATCAGAAATTTATTAGCCCAAAGGACGTAAGCCCAGAAGGGCTATTAATTTCGTTTTGGCATTTTGAGTTGGTTCACTTTTCAAATTGTTGCAACCAAATATTAGAGCTCTGCATTATATAAAGAAATCAAACAATGAAGAATCTGCATGAATGTATGTATGTTTCTACCACTGCGAAAAAACAACGGTACCTAGATACATCGAATTTTCAATAAATTGTCCTCCACTAGAACATGGGCGTCTAGAAGCCCGAACTTGGAATTTGGTATTTATTTTATTATCTGTTTCATATTTTGTAAAACTTTAACGAATTTTTGATTAACAAACTCAACGATTTCAAGATTTCAAAGCGATCAATGGCAATCACTGTACGAAAAAAAAAAAAAAAACATTATCTGCAACGCGCGAGACTGTGTATCGGAAATTCTAAAGATATGATCTTTTTATTTTTGTGATAGTGCTGTTGAATTGAATTTTATGGTTTAAGTGCAAAGTGCAAAAGAACAAAAAAAAAAAAAAAAACAGAATAAAAAAAAAAAAACAAAAAAAAAAAAAAAACAAAAATAAAAAAAAAAAAAAAAAAAAAAAAAAAAAAAAAAAAAAAAAAAAAAAAAAAAAAAAAAAAAAAAAAAAAAAAAAAAAAAAAAAACAAAAAAAAAAAAAAAAAAAAAAAAAAAAAAAAAAAAAAAAAAAAAAAAAAAAAAAAAAAAAAAAAAAAAAAAAAAAAAAAAAAAAAAAAAAAAAAAAACTTAAACGTTAGAAAAAACGTTCTTGTGGGCGTAACGTAATATAAAATCTAAAGGCTTTCAGATTTTTTATTTTTTTATTATTATGCTTTTTTTTAAATTTACTTTACGTAACATGTGTGATACTGAATGACAATCGAAACGAAATTTTAAAAAACAAGCAAAATAGAGATATAACGAACTAAATAATTAACTAAAATTAAGGATATAATGAAGAAAGCTTTCTGCGATATTTATAATGTATAAACAAAGTATATAGACTTTCAAACAATAAAAATATTCTTCTATTCTAAGTTGTGATCTTCTCTACAAAGAGTTACTCGCCAGTTATTTCGCCTTTTTTTTTTTTTTTTTTTTTTTTTTTTTCAAATACTTTTGCAAAATTGCACTCACCTGAGTGTTCTTGCAGGCATTTTTGATCATAATTGTAGCAAAAGGATTCGGGTAGCTTGTCGGATCGGAACAATGCAGTGAACGAGCTTGGTATACATAAGCTCGAAGATGAAGTACTTGTTTTTCTATAAAAAAGAAGCCATTGATATGAGAACAGTAACTCGTGCATAAAAATTAACCTACCATCTACTATAAGCTAGAAATTATTGTACATTTGCGTACAAAATTATTAACAGTCGAAGCACTCTTTATTATGTAACAGAAAATTACTAATAAGCAAAAAAATCTGATCTCTATTAATATAAACTCTTCTCTTTCTTTTATTATTATTATTATTATTATTATTATTTACTGCGTTCTCCGCCAATACATGAAAGAATAAGAACGCCTTGTAGAGGACTTTTAAAGGAAAACTGGCTCGTATCCACGTTACACATGAAGAAAGCCACGAAAACGCCCATGCAGCCAACCTGTTCTCCGGGACTCGTGCTTCGGACCGAACTACCAGTGTTCAGCGACTTTTACCTCTCGGCAGCTAGTGAGTCACGAACTTTCTGAACTACCAGATAATTTTTAAGGATGAAGAAGATGTTAAATAACTTTTGCTCAAATTTAGTGTAGCTCAACTTCCGTTCCATAATTGTATAATAATGAACGCTATAATAATTTTAGCTACATCAATGTTAGAAAAATGGCTTCAAATTTTTGAGTCCAGTTGAAATGGTCATCATTTCATCATTAAATATGATATAAAATTTCAGTCCTTTTGAAGCTGGGTATTTTGATAATATTATGTAAAGAAGACAGCTGAAGAAAATAACACTTAATATATATATTTCTCTCACCGCTATAACGAAGAGCATTCGGTATTATATCAGTTTCTTCATAACTTTCTTCAGGAAAACACTTAATAGTATCTCCAGGAATATTCTTGATGCATTGCTTTAGATGCTTTGTCAAGCCTAACCATAAATAACAAGTTACTCTTGCTAGAATGGCATTACTTTTCTTCTTTTTCAAATGCTGAAAAGAAATTAAAGTAAACCAAAATATAGACACAGACTAATTAGACGCTAATAAGATAGAAGGAATTTCATTACTTTCTCAACAAGCATATCCCTAAAATACAAATTTTAACATGCATGCCACGAAAAATTAACGCGATGTATTTAGAATCCTTTAATAATCAATATGAATACAAGTTTGTTGTTGTTGTTGCTTATCCTAGAAAGATCTGACATATGTCAGATCAGCTCCAGAAGATTGTTGACAAAAAATCAATAACAAGGAGAGAATCGGATGTTAAGTCCTCCTTAGAAAGTCCGATGCAGTGGCGTAGCGATAGGAAGGGACAAGGGGGTGTATGAAGCCCCGGGCGCCGCTCGCAAAGGGGCGCCAAATGGTCTCCAAACGAGATTTTCGGGAAAATTTCAGTTTTTATTTTGATCAATTTCTGCAAAATATATTTAAAATTAATAATTATTGTAATAATTAATTATTTATTTTCTTTATTTCTCTGATAAAATGTGTAATAAAATGTTTGCAAGTACACCAACCAAATATCTCCGCATGCAAAACGTTCTTTCTGACCACTTTATTTCTCTAAAATAGAGATATATTTTTATTTTATTAAACGAAATGCAGGTATAGCTCCACCTTTTTATTTTAAAACGATAACACGACGTTGTCCCGAATTTCTCAAACATATCCAGTCTTCAGAAACCGATTCCATAGTCTGGAAATGACATTTTGGAAAACTCCTAACGCTTCCGCTATAATGGATTGCATTTGACTCTCCTGTAAACGACTGATGGCCTTCCTGGCTACCGATTCAACTAAGTCATCTTGTTGAGACATCGTATATTCACTGCTACAAGGCATTCAACGCGTGTCAATTGTTATTAATCTCCTACTACAAAAGGAATGCTGCAGGTCTCTCCTTACACCTTATCTAAAATGTATAGCTTTGGACGTCACAGACTAAATTTGCATATTAACAACTTTGTAAACATTATAATTTTCCTTTTATAATCTCTTCTATTTCCTTTTGTTTAAAAGGTTGTCGATTATATGGTTATTTTATACCGACCCCACAATATCCCCTAATTGTTTTGAGCAGTGAATGTGACTGCAAGGTGTTACTCCGCAGCAGAAAAGAAACGGAACCTAAAACTCCATTACAGATCTATAGAGAAAATGTTTTTCCAAACCTAAGAGTCACACTTCAAATACTCCAGCTATTTCATTATCAAATGCTACCTGTGAACGTTCGTTCAGCAAATTAAAATAAATTTTGACATATTTACAATCAACGACGGGGCAAGATCCCCTAAGTCATCTAGCCTTTTTAAATGTGAAAAGAGAAAAATTTAAAAGGATCAACTTTGATGAAGTAATTGATAAATTTGCTTCATCCAAGGCAAGAAAAATGTATGCATAGTAATTAATTGTATTAATGTATTATAATATTATATTATTATTAATAAATATATCTACTATCAATAATATATATTTATTGTTTATAACTTTTAATTATATAAAAGTTGTACTTTTTTAAAAACAATTATAAAATATATGTAAAAAATAAATAATATTTTTTTAACTAATTCTAGATCATTGCATGTCTGATTTTTCCGCCGACACAAATACATATCCGAATCCAATGCTAGTGCAGTTAGATAGTGACTAGAGTATTTTATGGCAGATTCAGCATTTTATTATTATTTGCATTATTTTCTTATTACGAATATATTCTATACATTATATTACTTAAGCATTTTTTTGTGGGGGGGGCTCCAAAAAGGTATTTTGCCCCTGGCGCAAGTTCTGCTTGCTACGCCACTGGTCCGATGCATCCCAGTATGTGATCCGGTGAAGCTGGATAATCACAGCAGTTTTTACAAGCGGGGCGGATTTTTCTGCCACTTTCAAAGGAAAGACAGTTAAGATGGCCACCTGTTAGTCTAGCCAGAGCAGTCTGGGAGCCACGGTCACATTTGATTTCCAGTAGGGAGCTAGGGGATGTTCCTGTGTACCATTGGTGCGTAGTAGAATACGCCATATATTGGTGCGTAGTAGAACACAAGTTTAAATATGAATTATTCACTATAAGACATAAATTTTCATTTAAAAGAACTTTTCAAAATCTAAATGGCAGTGTTACATCTCTAATTGTAAAATCGAACATTAGCGCCTCGTAGCCAGAATTTCGTATTTGTTTTTGATTTATTTCATATTTTGTGCAAATTTAATGAATTTTTGACTAACTAAACTCGACGAATAAAAAGCAGTGTGTTGTCATTTTGGAAAGCATAACATACTTACGTCTCAAATTTAATATAAAAACTCTTCGATTGAAGATAAGTGTGTTGCCACTACCCGATATAAAATATTTTTATCTTCCAGCGTCATTGTGTTACCATTTAGCAAAGTGTAAGGTATCTTTCTTTCGAATTTAATCTAACTTTCACTGATAAATCCCTTGCGATAAAATGACGAATATACCTCGTCATTGGGTTTCTATGTCATACCATACAGTGACGAGCTACACTCGTCATGTGACTAAATTTACTGTTGAATATGATAATAATAGGGGGCTACTATATTCCTAGAAACGAAATTAGCATAGCTGACACCTCAATAAAGTTGAAAGCCAAAAGAAGGGGATATTTTCCAGAATACGTTTCTATAACTTAGAAGAAAAGAAAAGTTACTAAGTGGTTCTGTGTATACTACAAGAATAAAATTGGAAGTAAGACACCTTAGCTGTGTACACAATGCGTGATTACTTTGCAGCTACCGGAATGTTTCTAAAAGTATCACACGCCTGAAGACTATTAAATATCTTATTCTATTTAACTATCTTATTTTAGATTTACTTTGAAATTTTTTAATTTTTGTCATTTTTGGTATCCCATGAGGAATACAATTCTACTCGAATCAATGACATAATTTTTATTAACGAAGTGTACGAATTATAAAATTAAACATGTTTTTTGAAATAAACATTAAATGGTTAAATTATTTCGCATTAATCATACTGAAAAGGGTTAAAAAACCAAGCTAAAAGCAACGAACATCGTTCTTCATCTGTATTGTTATTGATTACTAGCCGGTGCCTGAAATTAGCTTAATTCCATTCATTAAGATTCCTTATATATTAGTTTCTTTTTTATAAAAACTGTTTCAGGCGGCTGACCACTTACGTGGCTGGTTAGAAAAAATGCAACTTTAGTTTAGCGTATAAAAATTTTTGAATATATCTCAATCAATTTCGAATGCAACCACAGATAAATTCTTCATCTTCAGGAGCAAAAAATCATTCGCTTCTAAAGAGAGAAAATGAATAATAATACATTATTTTTACATAGAAATATACTGTGATCACTTGTTTATATTAAAAATAGGACTTCAATTTTTAATAACGAAAGACTAAAAGCAATGCGTTTAATGAAAAGTATTTTTGGGTTTCAATAGGAGCAAACGTCTAAATAATGAAATAAAAATCTGAAAGGGTTCAGACTGCAACAGCTGCCCAAAAGAGCTGTTTCAGAGTTTAATACGGTTTATCGAAAGAGTGATGGCCAGGTGGAACAGCGAAACATTCTATAGGGTACTAGATGAATATACCTTTAAACTAAAATGTTCTACCTTTTGCGTATTCGAAAAGTGACAAAATTTATAACGTACTTCTACAAAAATATTTTTTTTAAATTAGGTATATCACTGATTAAATGCATTTTCAGCACCAGAGGTGCTATTAGTTTCGAAACTCACCTTTTATTAGTATTAATTTTATATCAAAATAACTTTCTAAATTGTTGCAAACAAATGTTATCGCCGTATATTACCTTAAAAATATTAAATGATTAAGAATCTGTATGTATGTATATTCCTCGCACTGCACGAAAATGATGATGATAGTCACCGAAATTTTAATATATTTAATTCTCCACCCCAACATGACCCTGAAGCCCGAATTTTGAATTTCGAAAATGTTTTTGATTTATTTCATATTTTGTAGAAATTTAACGAATATTTGTTTAAGAAACTCCGTGATTTGAAAGCGAGAAGTGGCAATACTGTTCGAAAC